TCCTTCACCTGTTGTGCCTACTGCATACGCAGCTAATAGTTTGGGAGCCATGCTTCCTGTTCCCAGTGCAGATTATTGAAATTACTACATGAAAATTTAGTATGATCTTACTTATTTTCTAAGATTATGAGTTCCATTTAAAGATATAACTTGTACAGCAGCAGCCATGGCTTTGCCTGCAGTTCCCGGACTGATAATCCCAGCCAGCCTTGACAGCAGCAGACTCCTTACCTCCACTTCACATCACTATTTCTTCTGTCTGCTGGGCTGCCCTGTGCTTTCAGCTCTCCAACCAAGTTTGCAACCAAGTCCTCACCTTGTCTATCTATGTGGATCTGGGGCAAAAAAAAAAAAAAAAAAAGCAAAATACAACAGACCTTTAGGCCAAATAGCTTATTTCCTCAGACTTGGTGGTGAAGGCAGCGAAGTTGGGAGTTACCTGCTTTGTGGTCTCTGGATGTTTCACTCATTCTTATGAGTCCTTTGTTTACTCTGTTAAAAGGATAGCTATTACAAACCAGCTTTAATGCTGTCTGTAGATCAGATCTTTGCTTGAAGGCAGCTTGTAGTGTCTTCCAACAAAGCAGGTAGAGCACATCACGGTGTCTGATATGCCTGTAAAAAGAGCTGGAAATGTTTCACTGAAAATGGTGGTTGGATTATCCAAGAACAGTGCATAAAAGTGCATTGCATATGCTGAATGTTTTCAGCTGGGTTTCCTCTTCTGCCTTAGATCAGAAGCTGTACCTCTCAAACAGTTCTCTAAGCTTCTCACTACTTGGCATTTTGGGGGCAGACAGGACAGGAAAAGGAGTTTTTTTCAGCTGGTATTCCTTTACTTGATATTTGTATTTAAACATTAATTTGTTCCAAAGTTTGAATCCCGAAATGCATTTATATTCATAAATTAAGTAGCATCGGAGAATGTTACCTGGGTGCTGCAACTCCATCATCTGTCCTGCTGAATTGTTCCAGCAGTACCTGGCCTGCCCATGGCCCTGCTAAACCAGCATGGTTTTCTAGTGTGATTCAGGAGCTGGTACAGGCTGCTGCAGTGGGCAGACTGCGTGCAGTCACCCTGAGCTGAGGGGTAATGGTAAGGATGTGGGCTGTTTTCTGCCTGCATCAGTGCCAGGGACAAATCAGAGCGTAGTTAATTTTTAAAGTAGTTTTTAATTTTTAAATATATATATATTTTTATTTATATTTTTATATGTATATAATATATATATTTATAAATATCTATTTATATTCTAGTACTTCTCACGTCCCTGAGCCCCCGCACCCCCAAACCTCTAGGTGGTGACTGGGGTGGTAAATCCCCCCCCACTGTGAGGACAGAGCAGGTCTGAGATCGCCTCATGAGACTGAATGTGTATAATTCTATGGGGCCGGATGGCATGCATCCCAGGTTCTGAAGGAGCTGGCTGAGGTTGCCAAGCCACTCTCCATCATATTTGAGAAATCGTGGCTGTCAGGTGAGGTCCTGGATGACTGGAGGAAGGGTCACATCACTCCTATTTACAAGAAAGGGAGCAAGGAGGACCCCGGGAACTACAGGCCGGTGAGTCTCACCTCTGTGCCTGGGAAGATCATGGAACAGATCCTCCTGGATTACATGCTTGATCACATGAGGAATGGGCATATGATCTGAGACTTCACCAGGGGGAGGTCATGCTTGACCAACCTGGTGGTCTTCTATGATGGAGTGACAGCATTGGTGGACAAGGGAAAGGCGACTGATGTCATTTACCTGGATTGAGCATGGCCTTTGACATGGTCCCCCACCACATCCTTATCTCCAAATTGGAGGTATGTGGATTTGATAGGTGGACCACTCGATAGATAAGAAAATGGTTGAAGGACCGCAGACAGAAGGTGGTCATCAATGGTTCTATGTCCAGGTGGAGGCCGTATAATGTAACGTCCCCCAGGGGTCTGTCTTGGGACTGGTGCTCTTTAACATCTTTATCAATGACATCGATGATGGAATTGAGTGCACCCTCAGCAAGTTTGCTGACAACACCAAGCTGAGTGGTGTGGTTGACGCAGTAGAAGGAAGGGATGCCATTCAGAGGGACCTCCACAGGCTAGAAAGGTGGGCCCAGGTGAACCTGATGGGGTTCAATATGGCAAAGTGCTGAGTTTTGCACTTGGGCCGGAGGAATCCCAGGCATCCATACAGGCTGGAAGGAGCGGTCCTTGAGAGCAGCCCTGCAGAGAAGGACCTGCAGGTCCTGATGGATGAAAAACTTAACATGAGCCAGCAGTGTGCCCTTGCTGCTCGGAAAGCAAATGGTATCCTGAGCTCCATCAGAAGAGGGGTGGCCAGCAGGGACAGGGAGGTGATTGTCCCCCTCTACTCTGCTCTTGTGAGGCCCCATCTGGAGCACTGCGTCCAGGTCTGGAGCCCCCAGTACAGGAAGGACAGGGAGCTGTTGGAGAGGGTCCAGAGGAGAAGATGATCTGGGGACTGGAGCACCTTACGAAGACAGGCTGAGGGAGCTGGGCTCGTTCAGGCTGGAGAAAAGAAGGCTGTGGTGTGCAGCCTTTCAATACCTAAAGGGAGCCTACAAAGAGGAGGGGAATCAACTCTTTGAAAGGGTTGACAATTGCAGGCCAGGGGGAAATGGTTTTAAGTTTAAGCATGGTTTAAGTTTTGTTAATGGTTTAAGTTTAATTATGGTTTAAGTTAATGGTTTAAGTTTTAAGTATTGGGAATAGGTGAACGGTTGGACTGGATGATCTTTTAGGTCTTTTCCAACCTTGGTGATTCTATGATTCTATGATTCTAATTTGAGGGAGGGAAGATTTAGGTTGGATGTCAGGGGGAAATTCTTTACAGAGAGAGCAGTGAGGTACTGGCACAGGCTGCCCAGAGAGGTTGTGGATGCCCTGTCCCTGGAGGTATTCAAGGCCAGACTGGATGGGGCCCTGGCAGCCTGGTCTGGTATTAAAGGGGGAGGTTGGTGGCCCTGCCTGTGGCAGGGGGTTGGAGATTCATGATCCTTGAGGTCCCTTTCAACCCTGGCCATTCTGTGATTCTGTAATACGAATATAGCCTATAAACTCCGTATCTTACCTCCCTATGAGAAGTCTCTCTCATTTGCTCAATGGCTTTTTCAACCCAATTTATGGATATAGAGTAGTCCAAAAA